TCTTCCAGTCCAAAATAACTATTAACTATAGTTTACGAAAGCTTTAAATTGCAGTGCAGGAACGTGATCATGTTGACGTGCTCTGGTGCGAGGCTGGCTCTCTTCATTGAGGTGATGTTCCCACGTTAGCTAACATAACTGAAACAGCGTCTCTTAGCAACACAATCCATTAGACCTTGTTTTCCAACAGGTAAACTGTAGTGTGTTGCAGTTACAAATGATTAACGCGTCGACAATGAAATTCTAAGTCGACAAATTTTTATAATCAACGTTGTCGATTATGTCGACTAATCGTCGCAGCCCTGTATCAAAGAGTAGTTGCTACTTGAAGGTAGAGTTTGAAATAGTAATCCAAACATGGTGGGACCCGACTGGTTTGGTCAGGTTCCAATGTTATTTTTCAAATATATATCAGTCCCAGAGTTTTTGATGAAATTTTGAAATCTGGCACTACTAGTGCAATGTGTATGTGTGTCAAAATACACCTATTGTGTATTGTATAAATATCTTTACTTATCGTGATGTGATGTTTTTGCCAGATTGCCAGGCTCAACACAGAGTATCGATTCAGGAGAAGACTACTTAGTGCAGCCAAAAGGATGTTTATGTTTGGTTTTTATATTCATTTATATTCAGCGCACCTGAATGAAAACAGTGCAACAGGAAAGTTTATCCAGGCCAAAAACATTTGTGATGAAGTTTGAAAGCATTGCTTGATGAATAAAGTTAACACAGAATTGAAACTTAATTTACAATGCTGTTTATTTTATTATATCACACTGTTTCATATTATTTCTTTATTTGATTTATGTATATGCATTTGAACATTGTTGCTAATTCACGATAATTTACCCAGCACTATTAGAGGCTGTTTTTCCCCATATTTGGTCATATATCAAAAAAGCACATTTCAAGCAATATTGAACACTGAAGTACAGTTGGCCTCGTGGGAAAAGGGTGAATTAGATGATGTTATAGACTCACAACTCTGACTGCTGCAGTGGATTATCTCAGAAACTAAAAGCTCCACAGATGGATTACAGCACTCAGAGTACTTAACCCTTACGTGTCTCCAGTTAGTATTGTTGTTCTGCTATACATTGAATATACATTATGTAAATGTTTAGATTAGGGCTGTCACTATTAATTAAATGAAAAATCAAGTAATGTAGTGATTATTTTGACAATTAAATGAGAAATCTATGTTTTTTATTTTTATTTTAAACAATAAAAATGAGAACAATAATATACTATTTAGAGATTGCACATTTTATTATACGCACCATTCTGCCAAATTAATACATACACACACACACACACACACACACACATTTAAAATAGAAAAATACATTTTTTCAGAGATGGTTTTTAGGTATTTACAAGGATTATGGTATGATCTTTTTAAACCCATGAATTAATTTAGATAGTAGTAAGCTAAATATATACAAAATCATCATTTATAGAGTATTTTCTATTGGGAGGTGTCTGTCTAAACCCTGATTACTTAAACTAAACCTAATTAAACTAAACCATTTACTTTATACAAACCTTTACTTCATATACATTCAATTTATGACAGAATTTTACTTCATATATATGAAATTTATGACTACAAACATACGTGCATTCATGAGCTCCTGCTTGTGTGGGTTTCCTCCCTTTCATTGCTAATTACTAAGCCAGTGCATTGAGAATGATCATTTTATTTTTAATTGAGCATTAAATTTGAATATAGTAATCAATTTTAATAAAGTAATACTGAACAGGGATGTGAATTCTAACTAATGAACACATTTCCAGGTAACCGCACAGAAGGGATGCTGTATTATTTAAAATTAGCCAAGGAAAATGACTAGGTCTTTGTGTCTGATGAGTAATGAGACAAAGACTGCCTCAGATGAGCTAATGAGCTAAAACTGCAGCTAACCGCTAACACTGTATGCTGATGGAGACTCGTCGTCTTTCATAAGTGTTTTTTCTCCTCTTCAGTGGACGATTAATGTAGCAGCATTAATGTGTCAGTGAAATATATTTTAACTGTTCCTAGACTTAACGTTACATCAGCTTTGCCTATTTAGCGGTAAAAGTGATGCTATGTCTGCCTTAACAACATCTTTTAACAACGTGCCCATATTAAGACAGTCACATTTCAGAGCAGCTACGTATAACATAGCATACTTACTCACAAATATGAGCAAAACAGTAACGTTTTACGTCCTGTTGAAGCATTAAATCATAAATACCGGCAACTCGACTGGGTAACCACTTAACTTTTTGCAAAATAAGACTGTACACTTTTTCATCAAATTCCAATCATAATGAAATCTCTCCTCTTCTTCTTACAAACATGAATCTGGTCTGGATTGAAAGTTAAACAGTGCACTGTCCACATAAAGCGTGAACGAGTAAACACTTTGCCTTTGCATACTGAAGCAATAATAGCACCACCTCAGTGCTGAGAAGTCCAGCTCGGGCCTTGATCAGAGCCCGCAGCCCCGAGAGAACTGGGAAAGTGCTTTCACATCAAATCACTTTCACTCCGCAAGAAGAGGTCACCTCTGCACCTCCCTGACTAACTAGCAGCTCTAAATGTGCACGCTTAGGACAGAAATGCAGTGGCCATCAGTTTTTATGATCCACTTATAGCCCATACAGGTACTACAGACAAGTCTGTTGAGATCACTGGTTTGTTTCTTGTCCTAGGACACCAGCCAGTACAGGGGGGAACGTGCCATGATATGTATAATTCATTATTTATTGCCTGTTAGGGATTAATAATTCAGCTACATTTGTACAGTGCTTTGCTGGTTTTGTTTGCACATGGAGAAGTTCAAGGTCAGTGTCTTGTATTATGAAATGCAGTTATGTGAGCAGCGTTTGCTGTGGACGTGGGTTTGGACTGAGCAGTGGGCTGAAAGAACAGATAGGATGCAGTCATGGTGAAGCTGAAGGAAGCATATCCACATTTAAGGCCTTGCTCAACAGTGGATGTGTGTTTGTGCAGCATAAAGTTTAGAAAGAGAGCTGAGCTAAACCAGCATCCACCTTCTCAAAAGCATATTAAGCATAGTGGGAAAGCAGAGATGTAGTTTACCTGATACTCAGGTATATGCTGTACACCCAGTAGAATTTGCATATACCAGGGGTCGCAAGCCAAATGTTAAAAAGGGACATTTTGTCCTTTCAGCAAAAATCAAACCACCTTGGGAGCCACAGCGTTTTATATCCATTTTACTGAAGTAAGGTTTTACCATCTTGGCTGTAAATATGTCTCAGTATGTGCCAATGTCAGAGTACAGGCTATAAAATATAAACGAAAACGCAGACTTACTTTGCTCTGCTTTAAGCTTTAGCTCAGCTATAGCTGCTTTTCTCGCATCTCTGGGAGGAAACTTTTCGGCAAAAGTGGAATAGGTCTACTACAAGTGTCTTTTACCGTACCTAAGTGTCTTTTTCTAAGTGTATTTTACCGTTGACGTTGTTTTTCTATAAACAATGGCCAGTTCAAGTTATAGCATAACATTAATTAAAAATAAAATGAAAACATTTTTTTCTCTGGCCCACAAATTTTATGAGATTTTTTAGTGTTGCCCTTTTTCTGGTTGAGTTTGACACCCCGGCTTTAGATGAACATTAACCTCATAAACCCCTCATAAAGCCAGCCCCAAAAAAAAAAAAAAACAACACTCTTTTAAATCTACACCACACACGTGGACCATGTGCAGCAGTAACATCATTTTAAACAATGTTAGCGTGTAAAACGTACAGTTTTCTATCTGCTACCATCATTTAAGTCATTACATGAAAGTTCGATGAGGTTTATTTCGTTGTTAGATGCACAGTGTTTTTTTTTCCCTGTATCAGTGTCTGAGCTCACTCAGAATGCAGCTTGGATCTTATTCATTTTTGTGTAATCGTATGTTCCTTGTGCCCAGACTGTGGCGTGCGAGTCCCGAGCCCCACCTCCTGGGCACTGCCTCTGGTCCTGCCGTAAGGCCACTTTAATTTGCCTCACGTTTGATCCCGGTGGAGCCAAAGAGTGGGGTTTTGTCTGGGCTCGGAGTTCAGGCCCCACCCTCTTGCTGGCTCTCACGGTCATCATCGGGGTCCAGGGGACGGGTGCATGCCACATAATATTAACAGTAAAGTGCGACTAACATGTGACTTATATTCCTGTTTGTGTTTTCTTGTTCAAAAAGCTCATTTTTGACACAAACGGGATAAAAATCATTCTTTACATATCAAAGGTATGTAACAGCAGCAGAGAAATCATATGATTAACGAAGAAGGGCAGATTTAACAGCAGAAATAGACACTTTTTGAGGCAGCCTTAAGGGCCTAAGTAAAACATTTAAAGTTAAATACATTCTAAATGACAAAAAATATTCTAGATGACAAAAAATATTCAAGTGAAATAAAAACAATAATGTGATTATGCAACTGGCTAAGGATGTTCTAGGCTAGTCTTGCTAGCAGGTATATACAATATATCCTCTACATCAGAACGGACTACACCACTGATGTAACATGTTGGCCCTAGTGTTAGCTGTAACCTTCGTCATACAGTTCTCATATAAGCTTTACTGGAAAATGAAATGCGGTCTAATACTAGCGGTAATATGAAAAATGTTGCAATATGATACTTTGGCTGTACCACTTAGCCCTAGCAGTTTTCTGTATTAAATATTAATGCTTACTAATTATGATCAGCATATGAATAAGAATATACTGCACCTATTAAGCAAAATCAATGCTAAGGATTTAAGATTAAAATGATTCTAGCTTTATTGTTTTGTGCTGTATAGCTTTTGGGAAACTCTGAACTGAACTGGACTTGAGGAAAAACTCACACATGTGCAATGCATTAGGTACCCGGCACTGACACTGGCCATCTTGAGTTGAGCCTTAACTAAAATGTGAAGGCTGGAGTCGGTCAGCACTGAGTAAAACCACCCAAAATCCTGTAATAACTCGTCTCCCTGTTCTGTGATTGGTTGCAGGTTCTATCAGGTGAGGGCGGGGCTGAAGGTGTCCCCGCGAGTGCCACACAGGCTAATCGTCACAACACCTGGATACACAGGTAAGCACATGATCGATCTGGCTCTCTGTCTCTGTGTCTGTCTACACTACATGGCCGAAAGTATGTGGACATCCATATGTACTTGTTGAACACATCATTCCAAAGCTGTGGGTATTAATATGCATCCCACTGTTCTACTCTAACATCCTCCACTCTTCTGGGAAAGCTTTTAATTAGATGTCGGAATATGGTTGCAGGGATTTGCTTCCATTCGACCACAAGAAGTTGTTGGTAATAAGGCCTGGCTCAAAGTCATCATTCTGGTTCATCCTAAAGGAGATGGATGGGGTTGAAGTCGGAAGCGTACAGTTCTCTAGAATGTCATTCTGTGCTGTAGCCTTAAGATTTCCATGAAAAACAGCCCCATTATTCCTCCTCCACCAAACTTTACAGTTCACACTCTGCATTCAGGCAGGCAGCGACCTTCTTTGGCATCCGCCAAACCCAGATTTTCCAGACAAGTTTGAACAAAGTAATGATGGATAGTGGGATGGTTGCTAAGCAGTGATTGGAGGAGAAAAGGAAGTAGACGTGGAGAGCATCAGGGTTATGATTGGCCGAAACACAATGACAAATTTGAAATTAGTTCTTTTTTTAGCTGTGCCACTAAGTAAAGTTCATACCACAAGTCAAAACAGCTGTTTCATAATCACTCATGGGGGCCTCCTAGTGGATCGGGCCGCATGGGGTGGTCCAGGCCTGGGTCTAACACTTTGCTGCTGAACTGTTGTTGCTTGTAGACATTTCCACTTCAAAATAACAGCATCTACAACTGACTGGGGCGGCTCTAGCAGGTCAGACATTTGATTAACTAGTGTGCTAGAATCGTGGCATCCTATGGCAGTGCCATGTCGAAATCTGCCTGCTATTACTTTATGTACAGTGTCTTTTTGTAACTGTGTATTGAACCAGATTTGTTTTGCAGATGAAATCTGGGAGGATTTCTGTTGGCTGATTTTAGTATGAGCTTTGTGGCGTGTGGGTCCTGTGCCACTGCAGCGTCTCACTAAACAGCATGGTCTCACTGCTCAGCACGGTGCCAAACACTCACAGCTGACCTGTGTGCTCCCTTTCTCTGCTCTGCTTCAAATGAATGACAGCGCGCACTGACCGGACACAACTTTATACACTAGGAGTGGACACTGAGGAATAGCAGCCTTTAGTGCTCAGAGAACGCAGCCATTCATGCAGAGCCAGGCTTGTGTCCAGTGCTTTCGGACTAAACAAACTACCTTGTCCCGGTCCACATCCTTTCAGGAGTGTTTTGGGGAGTGTGGTTTCAGCTGTTGAACATTTGTTACTCGTGAATTTTAACACTTTGTTTACAGTATGACAGTGAGCGAGTCAATGGCAAACCGGATATTCCGGTTTTAAATGGGGCAGCGCCGCAAAACTGTCAGCAGCAACAGCAGTGCACCATGGTGATCAGCGAAACATTCCACCGAGAGTTAAAGTTTCCCAGTTTTTTAATACCTCGTCCCTCTTAGACATGAAGACCCACCTCCCATTAATGTCATGCAGTCTTGTAGATGTGGTCTAGGACCGTATGACGTACTGTAAACTATAAAAATGAACAGAACCTCTCTTTGTAGCTGAATCCTGGGGGCAGCCACTTTAGACAACAGGGTCTGTACTCACAAACCACCTGAGGAGTAAGATCAGAATGATCTGAAAGATCATTTTTTATAGTGAAATCGCAATTTCAAATAGCACAGTTTTCAAATCGCAATAGCTGCAGTAATTCTAGCCTACATTATCAAAATTGTAGCCCAATAACACAGAGCCAGTTTACATTACATTATACATTACATGTGTTAGTTTGCATTATAACCACAACTTAGTGGCTGGCTGGCACACTGCATTCAGGGAGTGAAGCTTCAAGGCAGAAAAAGTGGATATTCTGGTGTTCTTGGCAACAAAAAAAACAAAAACCAAAAAAACCAGAAACAGGCCTGAACCTTAATTTATAGAAAATAATCACAATATTATCGCAATAGTCACAATATTAGTCAGAAAAATTTAAATGAAATATTTTCTCCAAAACGTTCAGCACTAGCTCTGGTGTTGTCCGAAATGGCTGCCAGTAGCAGTGAAATTTTATTATTTTTGTTGTTCACAATAAGTCATATCATGTTGACTAGTCTGTACAACCTTAGGTTATGATTGGGATGTGGTTGGAGTGGGATTGATAGAGGTTTTGGGGATGCATTTATGGAATAGATTTGAGTGACTATTGAGTTCTAATGATTGTGAACAACGTTAGCATCATAGCTCCACTTTTAAGCTAAAGAAGCGAAGTTTGGACATAGCTTGACTGATCGATCTAGAGTGAAAAATTGTGTAAATTTGTCTGTTTCTTTAATCTAATGGCCACCTATCAGTCGCACGTATTATATTACAGTACATTACAATATAATTTTGTTTAATCGAATTAAAAGAGAACTCCGTAACTCAGGGGTATCAGGATATAGTCAGTGACTCTGCTAGCATCTCCCAAGGCCATACGTCTGGGGATTCAAGCACATATGGTCGTATGCAAAAGTTGGGGCACCCCTGGTCAAATAACATTTTTGTTGATTTTCTAAGTGAAAATGAGCCTAACATATCCTGCAGATTTTATTGCGCTGTTACTGTTTATTTGTTGAATGCAACATTTTGGAAATAAGTAAATAGACAAATAAATAGAAACAGTGTACTAAAATTGAAGAAAATACCATATTTAAGTTTGTTCTCTGTGGAGGATGTTAATTTACTTCAGGCTTTTGCACAAGACTGTACACAGTATGCATAATACCCCCTGGGGTCCCATGTTGGCTGGCTGCTAACTCACTCGCCATAGTGGCGCTAATCTTAGCTTCAATGGCAACAAAATGTTTGATTTAACTGTTCGTCTTTTGGAAATGCTCCTTTCTAGTTTGGTAATGTGCTCTTCCACACACTAATTGAGATGTTACACATAGTTGAGATCTTTCTCATGTTCTGTTTTGTCTTCGGTTTGAGAAATGAGTAACAATCGTCCCTCCAGTCTCTTGGGAAAGTGTTTTTCGTATTTGCAAACATGCTGCGGTTTATTGTTTTTCAGAGGTATCTCATAGTTACAGTTGATAGGCTATGATGGACCAACTGGGTTAACCAATTGGCTACAGTGCCACCCTTAACAGACCAATTCTGCATCTCCAGTTAGTTAAGAATACCAAATACAGAAGCTCAACGACTGTGAGTGAAGCAGCTAAACAATGACATTTCCCTGAATTTTATTTGGTTTTCTAGTTTTTCCTAACAAAGACCCCTCAGAATTTTGATTTGAGACATTTGGGGGGTCCAAGAGGTTAATTAGGCAGTCCTGCACCTCCATGACCCCCTGTATTTCACAGCTTGACTGTACACAAAGCAATGTACTGCCTTCATATGATTTATAATGACAGCCTGTGGCTCATTGTCTCACACCTCTGCACAGGTGACATGCAAGCATACATCATCTCCACTACTCAGCGGGGTCTAGTGTGTGTGTGTGTGTGTGTGTGTGTGTGTGTGTGTGCATGTGGTAAAAATAGTAATCTATATGTGTCTCCACAGTCAGAGACACAGTCTACATGTTCCAGCCCCCCTCTGCCTGTCACAGGTGGCGCTGAAAATATGGACCTATTTTACTGCACTGACAAACCTGACAGTCTCTCTCTCTCTCTGTCTTTCATACTTACTGATGGAGTACCCTGCATTATCTGCACTCTCCTCGTTATTATTACACCTGGAAAAGGTGTGTTTGCGAGGCCAGAAATGAGCAGGTATGAAACACACGCAGGAATTCGGTTCTGAGTGCTTTGCAGCTGCAGGCTGAAGAAATGCCTTCGCTACTGACTTGGAGAAAAAAGAGGAAAAAACATGACTTTTGTGGAGTAGAGGTGCAGTAAGAGTTTCTTGAGGAAACATGTGTCATGAAATCTTTGATTTCTCCACAGTTCAGTCTGATTATTTTGCTTAGTTACTTTTAAGGACCCATAATCATGGAAAACCCATTTGCCTTGCTTTTTGAAGTAACGGAGTTTGAAGTAATATGTAAACACTGTTAAAGTTTTAAAGCATACTACCCTGTACATGCAGTGCATACAGGGGAGCTCTGCAAAAACAACCAGTTTTGAATTTATTGCGTCTATGATGTCACAAAAACCAACACATTCACAAATGCCCACCTATTGTGTCTACAAAGGGTTTAACTCCACACATTCATATTAAAGTTAGAAAGACTGCTTCACCCCAGACTGCTTTTTGAATGAGGCACAATACAAGACAGCCAATCAGAAAAGAGGTCATTTATCTTATATCAATTTTAAAAGCAAAGTAACAAAAGCAGCCTGTTTAATACTAAGAGATAAAAAGTGATTGGAAAATGGTCGCGTAAAAAAGAACAAATGATTAGTGGACCTAAATAAAATACTAGAAAAATGTAACCTGTGGACCTTTAAAAATACACTAAATACTCACTAGAACTACTTGCTTAATATAGGCAGTAAGCCTGTCACAATCAGTACATTTTCCTGAACAGTTTCTTAAAATCCTTTGGGGTCAAACTGACACTTTACAAGTGCCGAACTTCAGTCAGCGACTGTGGTTTCAGAACTTTGCGAAGGAACTGAAAGAACATGGCCTGGAGTTCTGAGAGACTTCAGCTTACCCCAAAAGTCATAATTTAAACCTTAAAAATAATCCATGTCGAATAAACAATTGTTAAATACTTTTACATAGCAGTGTTATTCCCAGGAAACTACTAAATTGGCATACTAGCATTCTTAAACCTTAATACTTTTTAAGAATGCAAAGACTTTTCAATATGCATGCTTATCCAAATTGTAAATGCTCCCTTGGCTCCTGGTTTCCAGACCCTACCCACCTTCCTTCACTACCCTGCATGGCAGATTTTGTTCAGTAATATTACAGTGTCCTGTTAACATTACTGTTAGTTGTCATGACAGATGCCATGATGTTTGATGTCATGACAGCTT